ATATAATAAGAGATGTGAAAATAAATAATAAGTGTTAATTAATGAATAATAAAATATAGAGATGTCTATATATTATCATTTTAAAAATAATATTACATTTATACAAAGGTAAATATTTTTAGTCAAATTACTATTCTTTATTATATTTTTTAATTATTTTATTAAATATTAATTTTATAAAGTAAATAATAAACACACGTTTTCTTGAATTTTTATTAGCTTAATTAATTTTAAATTTAATATATTACTTAACTGTACATTACATGAATAACCCACTTTAATACCATACATGATATTTTGTAATTATAAGACTGTATAAAATTATTTTACATAAAAAATGTATATCTGTTTTCAATAAAATAAAAAATAATTCATAATTGTGATCTCATTTATCATTTATTTATTTAATTTGGGGTAACTCGTTGTAAATTTGCAATTGGTTAATTTTACAGAAATAAAGTTCCCTTTTTTACCATTGTTCTAAATCTGGGTTTCCTTTCTATGAACAAAACAAAGCATGGCTCTTTTGTTGGATTGACGCCACCCCATTTGATTTTTCTCTCTCCTTTCTCTCTTCTCCCTCTCCAAAGACCTCACAGAGCAAACAACAGAAAATGGGGGCGTACAGAGCCGACGACGATTACGATTACTTGTTCAAGGTGGTGCTGATCGGCGACTCCGGTGTCGGCAAATCCAACCTTCTTTCTCGCTTCACGCGAAACGAGTTCAGCCTCGAATCCAAGTCCACCATTGGTGTTGAGTTCGCCACCAGAAGCATTCGCGTTGATGACAAGGTTGTCAAGGCTCAGATTTGGGACACTGCTGGTCAAGAAAGGTACCATAAAATCCCAAACCTTTTATTCTCTCTCACTTTTTTCAATTATTGTTATTATTATTCTCTTTGTATATATGTGATTTGATTTTTGCGTTTTGGGAAGGAGGAATATTTGAGGAGGTAGTAAAATTGGAAGCTTTATCATGTTTGAGGGTACTTTTTTGTGTTCTTATGTTATTATTTGGTTGGGCCTAAGCTTTTGTTTTATGATGAAACCGTTAAATCGTGGCATTTATGGCTTTGAGCTTCTTAATATAATGAGCTAAATTGTTTTGTTTGTTAGTTGTTGCTATTGATGAGGTTTAAGTTTTAGTTTGTTGCGCGAAAACTTTGGTGGTGGTGTTTTCGATCTCCTTGCTTCTTTAAAATGAGGTTGGAGTTTTTGGTTACTTTGTGGGGAACTTTTTTACTAAACAATGAAAGACTTGTGAAGATAATGTATCATCTGGCATACCAATGTCCGAAGTTTGTAATGATAAGATGGTGAGCAAGAAAGTTGATACGATATGTTGGATGTTTCTTACTAATGAAACTTGAATTTGGAGGAAAGTGTTTCAACTCTGTATAGCAGGTTGGAAGACTTTTCATGCCATTAGAACCTATTAAGATCTCGAATAATCTGGGTATATGGCAAAGTACCCCTTGTTATGACTTGAGGCATGAGAAAGATACAATATTATTTTATTTACATAATGTTTCATTATTATTATGAATATGTTTTTGTCTTATATCATCTTTTTATTTTTTAAATTGTATTTTTTTCACTAATTTTTATTGTATTAAATGACAAGAAAATCAAATTCAATTCATATATATGTTTTCATTTTTTATGAATTTTTTTTTAGTTACTAAGGAGTATTTTCTACAATCTTCCACGAGAGAGTTTAGATTTTTTTTTTCTTCCGTCGATACACAAGACAGGATTTAAACTCCTGACCTTACTTAAGCGTGAATTAACCTTTACCGCTGAATCACACGCTTGAGATTAGAGAGATTAGATATTAAACTAATTATCACAATAATAATAATAATAAATCATCATAAAAAGAGAAATTGCTATGTAAGAAAAATGGAGACTGGGGCTCTATTCGATCGAGCTTGCCTCCAGTACCTTCCTAGTGGCTTGGACAGGATCAAGTCATTCGTAGCTCCTTTGATTAAACTTTGGGGTTTAAGTTAGGATCAATCTATTTTCAATTTTAATATAA